CAGCAGCCTAGTGGGTAAAGGCCTCGCCTTGAACGCGCCAGATCCCATATGGTCGCTGGTTCTAATCCCGCCAGCCCCACTTCTCATCCAGCGCCCTGCTTGTGGCCTGGGAAAGCAGTCAAGGATGGCCCAAAGCCTTGGGATCCTGCACCCGTGTGGGAGACCCAGCGGAACCTCTTGGCTCCTGGCTTTAGATTGGCTCAGCTCAGGCCGTTGCAGCGTTTGGGGAGTGAATCATCAGATGGAAGATCTTCCTCTCTGTCTCTCTTTCTTTCTTTATATCTGACTTTCCATAAATAGATAAATCTTAAAAAAAAAAAAAGAGTACAAGGAGTCAGTGAGTGACTACATGTAAAGAGCATGCCTGGCATGTAATAAGCATTGAGTAAATGTCATTTCTTATTTTTGACGAATCGAATATAAAATCCTAGCATTGCACTTCTCCAGAGGCACGTCTTGTTTGCTCCCCACACTTGGTGAGCCTGCTGTTGGCAGTTGAGAGCAGTCTGCTTCTGCAGGGTTTCCGCTGCCCTTTGCCTGGTGACTGCTGCTGCCTGCCCTGTTACTTGCAGCACAAGCAGAAGGGCTTCCTTAAGAACAGCCCTTGTCAGAGCATCTTGTGAGCTTTTACCCAGTAATGTGGGTTCTTTGTTAGAAATAGAAGAGTAACTGCAGCAGACAACTTGGAGTTTTAGTTAGTCTGGCCTTAGTCACAGACAGCCTGCATTTTTACTTTTAGCAAATAATAGATTTATTACTAATCTATTATTTATTAAGATAATAGTAGAACAGTGAGGAAAGGCAAAGCAGTGAGGAAGGAGGTAGAGAGAAACAGAATCTTCCATCTGCTGGTTCCCTTTCCAAATAGCTGCAACAGCTAGAACTCGTCCGGGTTAATGCCTTTTGGTTAATATCAAGTGCAGGTTAATGCTAGGAGCCTGGAACTCTATCTGGATTTCCCATTTGGGCTGTAGGGACTCCAGTACCTGGGCCATCTTCTGCTGCCTTCCCAGACACATCTGCAGCTAAGCTCATGCACCACAATGCTGCCCGCCCCTCAGCCTGCATGTTTTAGAGATTAAACACATTTTCCCCAGAGCTTCATTGGAAAAGCATTCAGCAAAACATTTAAGTAATTTTGTTTAGAGAGGGGAAGCATCTTAACTTCTATTCCATGGGTTGTTCCAGATGGCAGCCATGCTGAGTGAGTGTCGTCTATGACAAATCTCTCCTTTTTTTGCTGACGGCATATCATTTGCACTTGGCAAACCTTCTTTTAGGAATTTGTGTCACAAATCTTTATTTGTACACATTCTCCTCTGGATTCTCTGCTCTGTTTCTTCGACCTCTAGCGGAGATACTGGCACTCATATGAGTCAGGCAGTGGAGGCACAGGAAATGGATGCAGTTCAGACCCGTGCTTCCTGTTTCTTACTTGCCTGTGAAAGCAGTGGATTGTCCACACAGCCTCAGGTTTTCCTGATACTCTTGTACTTATCCCTGAGCTTCATTTTCTTCTCACTGTTAAGAGAGTTATTGAATTTTCGCTGGTATATCATGTCTCTGAATTTTTAACTAGAATTTTACTTTGCTTTTTACCTAAAGTATTAAAGTGCAATAGAAGGAGTTTTTGGATTTGAAGCCAGGCAGGAAGAGGAGAGAGAAGCTATACTTGTGTGATGTGCGCTGTCCTTGCATTTATCGCATCTTTCTTGAGCTCTTGCTGTGAATCACACATCATGAAAGGTACATCGGATAGTCACACAAGGGCGTGGTACGAGGGGCAGGTGTTCAGCACGGTGCTTACGACGCTGCTTGGGATGCTCACGTGCCACAGTGGAGTTCCTGGGTTTGAGTCTGGGCTCTGCATCTGGTGCTGCTTCCTGCCAGTTCAACAGATGACGGCCCAAGTACTTGGATCCCTCTCATCCACATACAACACCCAAATTAAGATTTTATACTCCTAAATTTAGCCTGGACCAGACCCAGCTATTGTGGGCATTTGAGGAGTCAATCAATGGATAGGAGGAAGCTCTCTGCCTCTCTGATCTCTCTGCCTTTCAAATAAAGGAGTAATAAAGAAATTAATAGGGCCCAGCGGCGTGGCCTAGAGACTAAAGTCCTTGCCTTGAACGTGCTGGGATCCCATATGGGTGGCGGTTCTAACCCTGGCAGCTCCACTTCCCGTCCCGCGCCCTGCTTGTGGCCTGGGAAGGCAGTCGAGGACAGCCTAATGCTTTGGGACCCTGTACCCGTGTGGGAGACCTGGAGAAGGTTCCTGGCTCCTGGCTCTGGATAGGCACAGCACTGGCCATTGCGCTCACTTGGAGAGTGAATCATCTGATGGAAGATCTTCCTCTCTATCTCTCCTCCTCTCTGTATATCTGACTTTGTAATAAAAATAAATAAATCTTAAAACAAAACTAAAATGAAAAAAGAAATTAGTATTTAAAAAATAGAACAGGTGCCAGAGCCAGGCTGTCTAGGCTTGGATATTGGTCCATCGGTTAGCTATGGATCTGTAACAACTTCCTTTTCTTCCTTAAAGAAAAGATTATTTTATTTATTTGAAAGAATTGACAGAGGGAAAGATAGAGATCTTCCATGTGCTGGTTTACTTCCTTAAATGCCTGCAACAGCTGGGCTTAGCAGGGCCAAAGGAGCCGGGAACTCTCTCCAGATCTTCCACATGTGTGTCAGGGACCCACATTGTATGGGGCATTATCTGCTGCCTTTCCAGGTGAATTAGCAGGAAGATGGATTGGAATCAGAGTTGCCACAGCTCAAACTGCCCCTCCAGAATGAAATGCAGGCATTAAGTGTGCCTTAACCCACTACACCATAACTTCTGCCCCTAGAATGACTTCTTATTTTACTTCTCTGTGTGTCTGAATTCCCATCAATAGTATCCATTTTATAGTCACTGTGATTGAATGACTTAATAATATAAAATGAATAGATGATGGTGATGCGAAGAAGTGGGATCAGGATACAATAGAATACATCATTCTGTTTACACGTGTGTGTGTGTGTGTGTTTAAAATTGAGGTCCTGAGGAATCAAATCAGAGTGTGAGACCTAAGTCAGCGTGGTGCATCTTGGTAGGAAAGGGGAGTGTGGTGGTAGCATAGAGCCAGGAATTCATGTTCCTTTTCACGTCAGGGATTCATGCTGTAGAAAAGGGGCTGGCAATGAAAGCTGAAAACAGATCATGGAAAAAGCATGTCATGCTAGGGTTTGGTAACTAAGAACCAGTTATAGTCTTTGGGGGTTTCCTGAAATTCTTTCAAGCATCACAATATTGTGGTACAGTTATTCGCCCCATTTTGTTGATGGGGAAATTGAAGCTCCAAAGAAAATGAGCACTTGCCCTAAAGCACATCCTTAGAAGTAGTATAGAGGAAATCTGAGCCTCTTTCTGGCTCCAAAGTGAGGGTTCTTGTGGTGCTGCAAGGTGACTTTGGTACTTGACCATTGGCTGTTACCTTTATGACTTCAAGCCATTCCCTTAATTTTCTTTGGCCTCAGTTTACTCATCTATAAAATAGGTCAGAAACTAATAAACACCAGTCTTACAGACTTGTGAAAACAAATGGAAATACCCATAAAAAGGCTACGTGTAGTGCTGGACATAAAGCCCGAGTAACCTCTGCTTATGAAGCCAGATTCATTGTTTGTTTGTTTGTTTGTTTGTTTGTTTCTTTCTTTCTTTCTTTCTTTCTTTCTTTCTTTCTTTCTCTCTCTCTCTCTCTCTCTCTCTCTTTCTCTCTCATTTTCCTTTTTTCTTTTTTAAAGACTTATTTATTTTCATTGGGAAGTCATATTTACAGAGAGGAGAGACAGAGAGAAGGATCTTCCATCCGCTGGCTCACTCCCTAAGTGGCTGCAATGGCCAGAACTGAGCTGATCCAAAGCCAGGAGACAGGAGCTTCTTCCAGGTGTCCCATGTGGGTTCAGGGTCCCAAGGCTTTGGGCCGTCCTTGACTGCCTTCCCAGGCCACAAGCAGGGAACTAGATGGGAAGTCAGGCTGCCAGGACATGAATAGACGCCCATATGGGATCCCAGTGCGTGCAAAGCAAGGACTTCAGCCGCTAGGCCACAGCACCGGGCTCAAACCCAGGTTCTTATACAAAAAAAATGTTTTGTCCCTCACAGTCCCAGAGAACTGAAATGGTGCTCATCAGAGACTACCTGATTGTTAGTTGTCTTGCCCAAGAACAGTTAATCTGCACAAGAATCGACTCTGCATATAGCAGATTTCCTCCCCCAGCTGCTTAGCAGGTTCGGACATGGGGCTGTCTTCTGCCCTGTAAGCCCACAGTGTTTGAGTTTCAGACGTGCTAGGAGTGACCCCAAGGCTTTTCTGCTCTTTCAAGCAGCCTCCTGCCTCAGGCTTGCTTTCTCTCCTGCTTTTGGCGTCTATTTGGCTTATGCTATTTACAGCTTATGTAGTTAAGCTGCTCTCTTGGGTGGAATATCTACCTTCCTTTTTTGTTGTTTAACTTTTCTGATGTTAGTATTGAAGGGCAGTCATCCTCTCCCCTCTGTATTTCCTACAGCAACAGCTTGGTTCAGTAGTGGTCACTTTGTAATCTCCCCGGAGTCCTCTGAAGTGGACAGAGCATCCTTTTTTTTTTTTAGCATAGTGAGAGAAAGTAAGATCTGTATTTGAACAATGCTCCCATTAATTCTTTCCTTCTGTAGAGTTGATATTTATTAAGTGTATCTCTGTGCCAGGGGCTAGGAAAATCAAACTGAAAGAATTCTTTCCTCAAGGATCAGGCAGACATTTGAACAAATGACCAAATAGTGTAAGTGAAATTTTAGGGACATAGACATGGTGAAAGTGTTTATTTGCGGAAGCTAAATGAAAGATTCAGAAAGAAAGAGGGTGTTGTCATTGGGCCGTGAAGAACTTCCTGTGGGAGGGAGGGCATCCCAGGCAGAGGGACTGACAGACACTAAAACACGTGTGAAAGAACAGACAGACCCTTTAGGAGACCCTGCACTGAGTACAGAATGGGATGGTGGTAGCCAGGAATATGGCTGTGACTCCCACCAGTAAGACCCAAGACTCCAATGACTTGGAGGCGATTGTAGGACCTCTCCATAGTTTCCACACACTCCACTAACTACCTTTAAGCTGTGGCTAGACTTCCTTTTATCCTGGCTTCCTTGCACATCAGCTTACTGCATCTGCATTCCCTAGATTTGTGATCTCCTTCCTTTGCTAAAAGAAAACAAGTCTTACCACATGAGGCCCCGTGACCTGACTGCTTGGAGGAATAAAGGTTACTAGGTGAAAGAACATCTCTTATTTGCTCTCTGCAGCAGCAAAGGCTGTCTGTGGTCAGACACCTGGGTTCCTCTCAGTGGCAGGGCCACCAAAGGGAAGCATTAACTTGTTCTTTGAATGAATCAGACCTGCTGTTCCCCAGGAGACAGGGCTGGTGCCACTTGAGCTCTGTGGGCGAGTCTGGCCTGATCCCTCTCACTCTCGCCTGTGTTTGCTTTGCAGCTGCGTAAATGAGTATGGAAGATTATGATTTCCTGTTCAAAATTGTTTTAATTGGCAACGCTGGTGTGGGGAAGACGTGCCTAGTTCGACGGTTCACTCAGGTAAGGGCATTCTGAAGAAGATCTGGGTTGGGCTTCTCAGTCTAGCCTGTGGGTTTAGGGGCTTCTAATGGAAGGGGTGACTGGTTCCAGGACCAGCCCCTTGGCTACAGGATCTTAATTTGGCCTTTGACAGCTGTCAGCTTTGTAACCTGGACTGTCTCCAGAGATCATGGCTCTAGAGAACACGACCAGTCCTCCCATGCCTCTTTTCTTTAGTGCAGAGAGAGGGAACTTTTATTTCTGCCAAGAGCCATTTGGATAATTTTTAATATTACTCGCAGGCCATATAAAATTATCGACTTAAGAAATTAGCCTGCTGTGGACTTACTAAATTTCTAGTCCCACCTGTGGTTACCTTGGCAAGCCCGGATCAAATGATTTTGTAGGTCTTATCCTCATCCCAGCTTTAATGAAATGAGCAAGTAATTTTGCTTTCAGTGTGCAATATCAAAAATTGATTATTAGGTTAAAGTAGATTATAAATTTATGGTAATTCAAAAATATAAATAAATGACTCGATTTTAAAGTGAAACTAAGTCTTAAGCTTTAAGAAAAAAAACCAACTCTTGCGTAAATCGAATCAATCTAATTCCCTGCCAGTGCGCCCTCACAGCCGCCCTGGAAAATGAGTGAGTCATGTTGGTTTAGAACCAAATATGCTGATTTTTCTAAACCTCTTAAATGGGAATGAAGTGAGAAAAGGGAACAACTCTCTGATCTGAGTTAAATGTTGCCTCCCAGCTGAACCCGATTACATGACAAAAGTACAAGTTCCCTTTCGGACTGCCTAGCTGAGAATAGCTGCCTGAGGTGAAATTCCTGTGTTTATGGAGAAAGTAGCTGGAAGCCATTCCAAAGTTGACTTTCTTTGTGTTTGTTTCCTGAAAACTGTGCTGTGGCCTGTCCTGTGAGCCTGAGTCAGCTCCAGTCCCTACCCAGGGCCTTGCATGTCTTCTTGCTCCACAAGAGGCTAGGTCAGCTCACAGGCCCCTTCCAGCTCTGAGTCTGTGATTCTTGGAAAACTGGACAGGCAGACTGGGTAACAGAGTTACTTTAGGGTCTAGAGTCACTGCAGAAATGTTAGGGTTTTTCCCATGATAAGTGAAAACAGAAGAGAACCTGTGCTTTTTACTAAGCCTTAGCCTGATGAAATCAAAAGTAATAATCTCATAGGAATCTGAGGGCGTAGTCGGCCACCGTGGAGATAGGGTGGAAACTCCAGCTGGTTTTACCTTCACCTGACATTAGTTATCTTTTCTGCTTTTGACCAAGGGACATGACTGCAGACCTGTAGCCATAAAGCCATTTCCTTTATTAACATTCCCTTGACCATATTTTGTTATGGAAAGATCACTTAGAGATTATTCAGCCCACAATCTCATTGTACAGATGCGAACTTATGTGTAGAAGGCTGACTGACACAATAGGGATCTCCCTTGAGGTTAGTGGCAAGGCCAGGAATAAACCCAATTTTTCTGGTTCTCAGCCAATTAATTTCCATCACATACAGATTGTAATTTCTGAGATCATTTTTTTTCTTTTTAAAGATTTGTTTTATTCTTATTTAAAAGGCAGAGTTAGAGAGAGAAAGGGAGACAGAGAGAAAGAAAGAGAGAGAGATCCTCCATTCACTGGATCATTTTTCAGATGGCTGCAGTGGTCAGAGCTGAGCCAGCCTAAAGTCAGAAGTCAGGAGCTTCCTCTAAGTCTTCTGCATGGATGCAGGGGTCCAAGGACTTGAGCCATCCTCTGCTGCTTTCCCAGGCCATAAACATAGAGCTGAATCAGAAGTAGAATAGCTGGGATTTGAACCAGTGCCCAAACCAACTATACCACGGCCCAGTTCACCTCACCTCCTTTTAGGCTTATTTATTTGTTTATTTATTTATTGTAAAAGTCAGAATTACAGGAAGTGGGGAGAGCAGGAGATAGAACCATCTGCTGGTTCATTTCCCAGATGGCCACATGGACAATACTGGGCCAACCCACAGCCAGGTGCTACTTTCGTGTGTCACATATGGGTGGCAGGGAGCCAAAGCATTTGGGGCATCATCTGCTGATTTTTCAAGCTGTTAGCAGGGGTAGATTGGAAGTGGAGCAGCTAGGACATGAGCCAGGCAACAGTGTTCCAGGCCTTGGTTTTACTGAGTATGTTACAGCACTGGCCCCAAGTCCATTCTTTTTAAAAGCACAACTCTTATGAAAAGTGAAAATGTTTCCAGTTTAGAAAAATAATTTTTACTGATAAGCACTCTTATTTATTATTATTTTTTGTTTGTTTTTCTTTGCTGTATATTTTTTACAGTTCTACTCTCCCAAAAGTTTATATTTCATAGACAGGATTCAGTTTGTTTTGTGGTTTAGTAGACAGTTAAGCACAAATCAGATTCATCTGTTTGGCAGCATGAAGGGTTAAGGAACAAAGGGGAGGGGAAACATTGGGTAGGGTTTGTTTATTTATTTATTTATTTATTGGCATCTGCTAGGCAGCAAAACAGCTGAAGCTATGAACTTGAAGCTTGGTGGCCTTGTATCCTAGCCAAGCAGTAATAGAAGAAAGTTGAATCAATATTTTTAAGTAAAGTTATGCCTGTTTCATATTTACATCTTTTGCATTTGTGCAGTGCAAAATATTCTTTTGATTTGAGATGCTCAGCTTTTCAAGAGCAAACTTTAATTAAAAAAAAAAAAATCCCTTGTTAGAGGATAGGTTTCATTAAACATGCCCCCATCTCAGTTCCTGGAGCTCATTTTATAAAATCCCATTTTATTTTAATTTCTGGAAATTCTGGGATATCATTGAGGAAGAAGAGGTCTTGCCTGATAGACTTCCTTGCTCAACTATTTCTTTCAGTTTGCAGGAAATGTTATGTAACACTCGATTGCATTACGTGTACTTTTGCTAAGAATCCCAACTATCTGGATAACTTTCCCATTTGAAGTAAAGACTTTTAAATTTTTTTAAGTGCTCTCTCAACCTCAAACTCCCTGAATCTGGACCCAAAGAGGAGGAGTGGTTTGTCTGAAATCACACGGAGATACGGTCTTCTTCCTTCTGGCTTAGCGCTATTTCTATTACTTTGCTTTCCTGATGCTTGTATTTTCTTGGATTTTCTCTCCAGTGCCACTGGCCCTGATCCCATGTAATTATATTTGTATGGTATGTTGCATGAGGAAAGCAGTAAACACCCTCCAGGCAGAGTAAAATTCACAAGCTTCATCCTCTTGTGTGCATTTCTTGTGCTGAATTCTTGTTTGGTTTTTTTTTTGTAGTGGTTGTCCATGATCAGGGCTGATAAACAACCCTTAAATGCTCTTCTAGAGCTTCTGCCCAATGTTTCCTCCACCCTAGTCATCTTGGTTTTATCTTAGATCCAGGCAGGAAAGATTGTACTTAATGGAAATTTTGCCTCACTTTTATTTTTCATTATTTCTCCTGCAGGGTCTTTTCCCCCCAGGTCAAGGAGCGACAATTGGTGTTGATTTTATGATTAAGACAGTGGAGATAAATGGTGAAAAAGTAAAGGTAAGATGCTAAATATTCAATAAAGTTTGTATGTGCCAAGAGTTTAGGGTAGGTAATGTTTTCAGCGCTTATTCAATCTCCTAATTGAAGCCCTTGTTGAAAACAGTATCCTCAGCCTGGGCAACTGATTTCCACAGTTCTAGTCCTTTCATGGAGCAGGAAAGGATTTTGCATCATGGTTTACAGATTGGAAGCAGGATTGGGAAAGAAAGACAAAAGGAAGTTTTCCCTGTCTCCTGCAATGTCAGAGATAATGCAAAAGGAAATTAGACATTTCTGTGTGAATCTCCTGCTTTGGTCCCATAAATAGTGCTAACTATCCCTTCTCAGTAGCAGCCCATGAAAGGCCTTCCCAACTCCTGTGTGACATCATGGCCCTGCTAGTCAAGTGGATGCATATTAAACTTAACCTGTCTGCTCCAACAAGGAAGAGACACCCAGTGAGGGGTCCAGGGAAGGAGCCATGATCCTTACACTTTTCCCATTTTCTGACTTCAGGGTGACTTGGTACCTAGAGGAAGTATGGTTTGTGCAGTAATAGAAAAGTGGGATAGTGTTAGAGTGCCTGTTATGTGTCAGTGCTGCTGCAGAGTGCTTTTGTATGTGCTATCACAGCTTAATTCTTGCTATAAATCTTGCTATGTTATATTGGCTCCAGAGATACTAGACAATTTTCTTATTTGTAACTCTACTGTTAGGGAGGGAGGCTAGCAGGATTTGAACCAGTTTTGCCAGCCAGTATACCCCACTGTCTGCCTGGAGTCTCCCTACCACAGAATGAAGACACAAGGGGCCCACTGAGGTGGAACAACTGATAGAAAGAAATCAGAAGCAAGACTAACTTATGTGGAAGGAGGGTAAGGATTCTCGTCAACCTGCCATTCAGAGATATTGAAATTTCTTTTTTTTTTTTTAAATTTTTTTTTAAGATTTATTTTTATTATTTTTTTATTGGAAAGGCGGATATACAGAGAGGAGAGACAGAGAGGAAGATCTTCCATCCGATGATTCACTCTCCAAGTGAGCACAACGGCCGATACTATGCCAGCCCGAAGCCAGGAGCCTCTTCTGGGTCTCCCACGCGGGTGCAGGTTCCCAAAGCTTTGGGCTGTCCTCGACTGCTTTCCCAGGCCACAGGCAGGGAGCTGGAAGGGAAGCGGGGCTGCTGGGATTAGAACCAGCGCCCATATGGGATCCCGGGCGTGCAAGGCGAGGACTTAACCACTTGCGCCACCGCGCTGGGCCCCGGATATTGAAATTTCATTGTCACATCTCTCTTGACTGAATCTCATAGAAAGTGATCAACCAGCCATGTCTAGAATGAGCCAATGGGTGGGGAACAAAAGCTCTCCTTGTTTTTCAGCCTGACTCCTCAAAATGGCTCTTCATGGCAGGGGTCTCTCCACCCAATACATTAGTGAATGGTAAACTAGCAATGCTGGATGGATGGTAAGACCAGGGTATAAAATCTGTGTAAATGATAATCGTAAATCAGAAAAATAGAGTGCTTGGGGTGGGGAGAAGGAGCTAGGGTGTTGGTACAGGAAGGAGACTGGAGTGCTCTTGGGAGGCACTGACAGCAAGAGCCTTTTACAGCTTCCTTTTGTTCCAGCAAAGGTTGCCGACCCAAGGAGGTAGGTCAAGATAACTACCATGTCATGTGTTTACTTCCAGATGTTTGGGTTTCTCTTTGTGTGTGTGTGCTAAGACTAAAAGTTAATAAGAAAATAGTCTACATTGTTAATGAATATGCTTAGTTTTCTTTCCTGAACCTCCTTTATTCTACTTTCTGTAAACAATATATTCACTATGAAGCTTATTACAGTCTCCAAAAATTCATCTTTTTGTGATATCTGACTCCAACAAAGACACAGGGTTTGTGTCTCACTCATCTTTGTATTCATAGCCCAATCCCTGTGCCCCAAACCTCTTCAGGCTTAAGAACTTCATAAAAAGTGAGAGTTGGCTCAGTTCAAATCAGTTTGCCTGTGAATCTTTCCAGCCCAACGTGCAGAATCAAGATAGAGTATGGTCTTGTTCCAACGCCTTGGCATGAGGGTTCATTGACATGTGCACATGTGAGGAGAAACCTCTGTAGTCCTGGGGAAGAGGAGGGCAGGGTTTGCAGACATTGCTTATTAAACGCTTTTCATATTTAAGGTTTACTGATTGCTTCTTCTGTTGATATCTTTTGGCTCAGAGCCCATAAATGAGTAGAAAAGAGAATCTACTAGTAATGTGTGTAACATGTTGAGGGACAGAGTTAGGACCAGAATCCTTGGGTCTGTCTCCTAACTTCTCAACACCTCCTTAGATTCCCCTATATGTGTCATTTTTGTACAGTGTTTCCCAAGATCAAAGGCACGAACCCAAGGTATTAGAAAGATCCTGTAGCTATTAAGGCTAAGTAAGTGTCAGATCAGTAAAGGTAAAGCTAAAGGGGAGTTCCTTCTCTTCAATTGCTTTGCATTAAAAAGGTGACTCTGTATAGAAAATATAACACGGGGATTCCACTTGGATACTTAAAATGATTAGTTGTTTGTATTTTCACACTTTAAAAATGGGAAAGAATTTAATTTTCTTTTCCATTAGATTTTTAGTCTTGAGTAATACACAGAATGCTATTATAATATATAATTATATCATGCTATTATATTATATGCATTTGAACCTTAGCAGAGGGATTATAATATAAAGAGAAGGTTATCTGCTTTTCTAATTATGACTATGTTGCATTGACAAGGGATCATGAAAGGTTATAGGAGAGTATTGTTTCTAGTTCTAATAGCATTTTTCTCTATGAAGTCCTCTTTAGTACCCACTGAATTTTTTCTTCATATTTATTTATTTTAATTGAAGAGGAAGATTTACAGAAAGACAGAAAGATCTTCCATTTGCTGGTTCACTCTCCAAATAGCTGCAATGACCAGAGCTGAGCCAATCAGAGGCCAAGAATCAGGAACTTCTTATCTCCTCCCTCTCTGGCTGCTAACTGAAAGTCCAGTAGTCAAAGATGACAGCTTACTCTGCACTGTGATTTCTATCATACAACATTGTGGTTAGAAACCATGGACTCTGAAACCACAATGCCATGTTGATATGGCTCAGCATGATTCCTGGCCATGCAGTTCTCTTGAGCCCATCAAGTTCATCTTTCTGCATCTCAATTTCCTAATATGAGAAACAGACATTATAATACATAGTTTCCATCTCATAAGATTAGAACATGTAGGTGCTTAGAGTAGAGCTTGGCATATAATAAATGCTCAATTAATTTTTTTTTTAAAGAATAAAGAAGGAAACTTCATTAACAAAGAAAATTCCTATTTTCTCCCTAACTAGAAATATCTAATAATAACAAAGCATAAATATTATGTCTTCAAAGGCAGAAAATAGTCCTAAAATTATTTGAGTGCAGATGTCCCCATTTCCAAACCAAAGCAAGCAAGGCAGTTCTTTCCTTTCTCCTTCTCCAGCCTCATCCTTCTCTTCTGCCTTTGCAGCTACAGATCTGGGACACGGCAGGGCAAGAGAGATTTCGGTCCATTACCCAGAGTTATTACCGAAGTGCCAATGCCTTGATCCTTACCTATGACATTACCTGTGAAGAATCCTTCCGTTGCCTTCCTGAGTGGCTCCGGGAAATAGAACAATATGCCAGCAACAAGGTCATCACCGTGTTAGTAGGTAAGTAAGGTCTGAAAAGAAGGAAAATTGTTTTAAGGGCATCAGAGAATTTGTCATCATGTAAAGTATGTGTCTTGGTATCTTTCAGGAAGATGGTCTACAGTTACAGAAGTCTTACAGCTGCCATTCAGTTTTTTTCTACAATTAAAAGAAAATATGAAATTTGTCCTATGATAACTGTCAAAGAAAATCAAGTAGAAAATATTGCTGAATGATTTGTTTTTTAAAGATTTATTTATTTTTATTACAAAGTCAGATATACAGTAGAGAGGAGGAGAGACAGAGAGGAAGATCTTCTGTCCGATGATTCACTCCCCAAGAGAGCTCAATGGCCAATGCTATGCTAATCCAAAGCCAGGATCCAGGAACTTCTTCCGGTATCCCACGCGAGTGTAGGGTCCCAAGGCTTTGGGCCGTCCTTGATTGCTTTCCCAGGCCACAAGCAGGGAGCTGGATGGGAAGCAGAGCTGCCGGCATATGGGATCCCGGCATGTTCAAGGTGAGGACTTTAGCTGCTAGGCCACGCCGCCGGGCCCTGAATGATCTTTTTTAAAAAATTATTTATTTTATTTGACAGGCAGGGTTACAGAAAGAGAGAGGGAGAGACAAAGAGAGATGTCTTGCATCCACTGGTTACTCCCCAAATGGCCACAACAGCTGAGGCTGGGCCAGGCTGAAGCCAGGAGCTTGGAACTGCTCCTAGGTCTCTGTGTAGGCTCAGGGTCTCAAGCACTTGGGCTGTCTGCTGCTTTTCCATGCACAGTAGCAGGGAGCTGGATAGGTGAAGCAGCCACAATGTGTCCCAGCAACCAGGTGGGCTGCCAGCAGTACGGGTGGTAGCTTTACTTGTTTTTCCACAGTGTTGACATTTCTGATTGATTTTTCTATCAGTATTGCCCAAAGGGAAGAATTGGATGATTGTGAAAATTATGTGGGCTGCTATTTATTTAAAAAAAAAATTCTTGGGCCCGGCACAATAGGCTAACAGCTAGAGTCCTTGCTTTGAATGCGCCGGGATCCCATATGGGTACCAATTCTAATCCCAGCAGCCCCACTTCTCATGCTGCTCCATGTTTGTGGCCTGGGAAAGCAATCGAGGACAGCCCAAAGCCTTGGGACCCTGCACCCACATGGGAGACCCAGAAAGAGGCTCCTGGCTTCAGATTGGCTCAACTCTGGTTGTTGTAGTCACTTGGGGAGTGAATCATCTGACGGAAGAGCTTCCTCTCTGTCTCTCTTCTTCTCTGTATATCTGATTTGCCAATAAAAATAAAATAAATCTTTAAAAAATAAATAAAAACAAATAAAAAATCTAAAAGTTGATAGAAACTACTGATCTAAAGGTAAATGTACCTTTTATGTGGATAAGAAATTTATTATTAAAATGATTGTATATTGCTTAAAAATTAGACCTCAGTTAATTTTTTCCCTTCTAATATTTATTCTTTCTGACTCAGAAAGAATATAATGCTACAATTTGTTTCATTTTCTAGGAGGCTAAAACCTGTTTTTCACATTGGGGAAAACCAGAAAACTTTTGCTATTCTGACATGATAAATACCCCTATTATAATTGGAATTATAGGGGTGGGTTCTATGGCACTATGAAGCCATCACTTGGGGCACCTGCATGCCATACCTACATGCAGATTTACATTTCAGCCACTCTGATTCTGATCTGATTTCCTTTGAATGCACCTGGAAGTCAGCAGATGATAACCACATTCTTGGGGTCCTGCCACCCACGTGGGAAATCTGAATGGAATTTTAGGATCCTGGCTTCTACTTGGTCCTGCCCTGGCTGCTGCAGCATTTGGGGGAGTGAACCACTGTCTAGCCCTTCCTGCCACTCTACATTTCAAATAAAGAAATCCCCAAAGGAAAAGTGGTGAGAAGGGGAAAAATAGAATTGTAGTGAAAAGGGCTGGATCATTAAAAATTCCTCTAGTTGTGACAGAAAAATGTTGCTAACCATGCTGTTAAAATATTCCTTAGAAGGAAACTCACTGTAGTGTCTAGAAAGAGCTGAATTTTGGGTATTTGGGCAGAGAATCTCAGAAGCATTGTGGAGTTAGAAATAATGGTTAACAGTAAGCTAAGCAAACAGTTTGTAGTAAGCCTTTATGTTTCATGATCCCTGGTAAGGAAACTTAGGCTCAGAGAGGTGAAGATTTTTTTTTCCCTAAGGTCACAAAACACATATGATGGACTCCAGGCTCTGCTGTTGCTATAATATTCCACTTTGTATTTTCCTTCAAGATATTGGGTTATAAACAAATATTTGATACCCAGTCCTGAAAATGTGCTTGCATGGTGGCTAATACTGTAAGGAATTTGAAAGCCCTCTGCCCTGCACTGCCCATGATATTTTTTTCTATTCTGCTGAGGGACTGCAGACTTTGAGTCAAAGTATTATTATTTGGGATTTTTTCTAAAGAAGTTACATGAAGATTTGAGGGAAGATAATTTTTGACACGGTCCCCTATATTTCTAGCAGCTTGGTAGGTAAATCTGGATGCCTGATGAGATTCAAGTGTTTTTACATTTAAGAAAAATACTCACATGTGCTATTCTGATATACACTTCTTTTAGGAAAGGCAAGACAAATGGTTAATATTTTTTCTTTTATTCATGCTTCCAGAGGTAACCATTGGCATTTGCTTATAATTTTAACCTCATAATGAAATTAAAGATTTAAAAATAGTTGATACATTTCAACTCCTTGCAGTTATTATTACTGGTCTTTTAATTGTTTCAGCACTGATAGTGGGAGCTTTTTCAAAGGGCTCCTGAATGCTTTTGACCCCAGATATCTGATCATTTTCTTATTTCCTGATATGCCAAGAGTTTCAGGTATCCCTTGCTTATTTCCTTCCTCAGACCTGGATTTAGCCACTTCTTTAAGAAGTAATGTTTGTTTTTAATGGGAAGAACTTAGGTTCTAGAACCTTCCTTATTAGTGGGTTGGTCAATGACTTTTTACTTATTTGAAAAGCAAAGTGAGAGAAAGAAAGAGAGGGCACTCTCATTTCCTGATTCACTCCCCAGATGTGTACAATAGCCAGGAACAGGACAGGCCAAATGAAGTTAGAACCTGAGACCTCAACCCAGGTCTCTCACATGGGTGGCAGAGACAACAAGTACTTGAGCCATCACCTGCTAAGCATTCACAGGAAGCTGGAACTAGGATCAGAACTGAGATTTGGACCCAGGCATTCACGGTGCCAGAAACACACCTGGTCTTTGATTTTAGACTGTTCAATGGACAGAGCTTTTGTGTGTGAGTAGATGTGTATGTGTGAGTGTTTGGCGGGGGTGGGGGTGTGGGGAGGCTTTGTGTCACCTAGTAGAATTGTCTCACCAGGCATGACTAAATGTTCTCGCTCCCACGATAGGACAGGAAACGTGGCTTAACGGCAGATCTGCATCAGGCATCCATTTTCAATGGAATGTTCCCAGTTTAACTCTTAGAGTCTATATAGCTTTCCAGGATTCTAATTCGAGTGTGAAGAAACAAGACTCATTTCAGGATAAGCTGTAGCCCCAAGGCCACAACACCCCTTTGAAGCCAAGAATCTATTATAACTACTCCACAGGCATGACATTAAGTATCTCTTCAAGTGAAGAGTCATTCTACTCAGGAAAGCCTCAAGTTGCAGTTTTCCATTAAGCATTTATAATTCATATGTAGAATACCCAATCAAGTGTCTCTTAAGCAGTGTTGGTAGGTAATACACATGACATATTGTTTCTGTCAAGTTTTCGAAAGAATAGAGGTAGAAAACTTTTTAGTGATAAAATTATTTTAGCATAAATTGTTCATACTGATTCTTCAGTTGTAATTCAGGACTTCAGAAATTTCATTTAACCTCATTAATCTTATATCTGTGTTTGCTTTTTCCCATGTTAAAAATCCCAGTTCCCAGTGACATCAGCATAACTGCTTGTTAACTTTAACCCATGATACACAGATATCAATCTTGTGATAATAATGTAAACATTCGCCATTGACAGGATGATTACAGAAATAGCTCAAGATAATTTCTTCCAATTCTTTTGGTCTTAGGGGCACATATAGGATGTGTAATAAAGTTACTATGTCTGAAATAATCTGAAATAGTTCCTCTATGTGCAGTTATACAAAATATAACAATTTGTTTAAGTTGATTTTTTAGGAATTTGCTTTTTAAATTTAACTTTATAAATATATATTTTATTGATTATATACTTATATAAAACATTTGTTACTTTCCGAAGTCAAATCTACAAAACAGTGTATTCATAGGTAATCATTATCTTTGAAATTAATATATGAATTACCCCGTTAAAAAGTTGACAATATTGTTATATTAATATCTTCCATTTTTTAGACAATTACATGTTACATATAATTTTTCTGCTTTGCCTTTTATGCTTAAGAAAATATCCTGGTGTTCTCATTCAATGATGGTATAATGAATTATTCCTCACTGCTTTTTTTTTCCCCTTTAAAGGTTTATTTATTTGAAAGGCAGAGTTACGGGGGTGGGGAGAGGGAGAAACATAAATTTCCACCTGCTGGTTCACTCTGCAAGTGGTCAGGCTGGGCTGAAGCCAGGAACCAGCAACTTCATCTGAGTCTCCCAGGTCAGTGGCAAGTTGGGTCATTTTCCACTGCCCTCCCAGGTGCATTAGCAGGGCACTGGATCAGGAGTGGAATAGTCAGGATTTGAATTGGTGCTTAAACTGCTGCACTACAACTCAACTGCTGCCCAGCCCCCTACAGTGGCAAATACTCTGTTGTGTGGCTGTTCCATAGTTTACTCATCCAGTACCTTAATGATGGACATTTGAGTTATGTCTGATTCTTTGCCATTACAAATGTTGATGATGTTACATTTTTAAAATGTTATTCGTTGGAGAGAGAGTGAGTTAAAAGAGGCAGAGAGAATGAGTTCTTAGAATGGCTAGAGACAAAGTCAAAAGCTGGAAGCTTATTCCATGTCGTACATGTGACTAGAAGGAACCCAAATTTTTGAGTCATCCCTGCTGCCTCCCAGGGTATGCGTTAGCAGGAAGCTGAATCAGGAACTCGAGTGCTAAATTGATTCCAGGTACTCTGATGCAGAATATCTTCCTGCCATCTTAACCACAAAGCCAAATGCCTACCTTGGTACTGGTAGTGGAAGCATTCCAGTCAATAATCCCAGTCACATTTGCTCATCTGTCTGCTTTGACTTTGGATCTGGAATTTATTGTGTTGCTTCTGAACCTGAAAATAGTCAAATGATAACTCTTTCTGGGTTGCAGGCAACAAGATTGACCTGGCTGAGAGGAGAGAGGTCTCACAGCAGAGAGCCGAGGAGTTCTCGGAAGCTCAGGACATGTATTACCTGGAGACCTCCGCCAAGGAGTCTGACAATGTGGAGAAACTCTTCCTTGACTTAGCTTGTCGACTCATCAGTGAAGCCAGACAGAACACACTTGTAAACAATGTATCCTCACCCTTACCTGGAGAAGGAAAAAGCATCAACTATTTGACTTGTTGTAATTTCAACTAAAGGCTGAAGCAGAAGGAAGCAAAAGGAAACAGCAGCTGCACTGATGGGCCACGAGTAGCTGGGGTGATCTGGCGCTGACTGTGGCTCCCGCTCCTCGGACCTTCTGACTCCTGTGGGCTGCCGAGCTTACAAAGCATGGCAGGCCAAGGGCCCTGTCCACAGCTCAGCATTAGCAGAACATATAACGGTTAGACTCTTTCGCAGTCTGGAGTTGGAGCAAGGAGAAAATTGCACTAGGAGCTCCATGATCTGCAGAGCATGCTGCTTTTGATTGTTTAGAGAGCAAGTAAAAGCGCATTCCTAAATGCAGTCCTGGGGAACCGACTGTAGGGACCCCTCCTGCATGTCTGTGGGTGCATGTGGGGGCTGTTCTTTAGGGATTCAGTGGTAAGACGCTGGCGGCCTTGGGTTATCTACCAGAGAAAACAGACCGAGAAAAGCCAAGTACTGTCTCTCTGGCGCATATTGATGGCCCCATGGAGATCTTGAAAAGTGTTATTTCTTTTGCCCACAGGCACCTTCAAGAACTTTGAGATGTAAAAATGAAATGAAACCTTTACCCATGACCAACAGTAACAATCTTTGTTTTAATAATATATACAAGTCCCATGACTCATTTTTGGTGCTAATGATTTCACAGACCAAACATTTTAGTCCATCAACGTCCTTTAATGTATTAAGAAATAAAAAAAAAAAAAATGGGAGAAGTCCATGAATCTGTACTCTTTCTCAAAGTCTCATTCCTACCATTCCTAGGGTAAATTTATTGAGAAAGAGAATACTTTTTCTTTCATGTTCCCTCTGAATTTCTACCATTTCATCTTCTATTTCCTTTTCTTTCATATGCTTTGCATCAATGAAAAAGTTTGAAAAATGGAAAAAAATTACAAATGTTCTCTGACCTTATGGTATCAGACAACAGGCCAGATATGACCAAAATACTGTGGAATAAGGGACTGAAGTGCAGAGTTCCAGCAGACAGAGCGTTTTCCTTGAGGGTAGGTCCTGGCACTGTCCAACCGGGATGAACCAAGGCCTAGGATTCTGTAGATGTTCTAAGTATAATAAGTGAGAATATCAATAGAGCAAAAGCCTCACAAACATTTTTGTATTGTCAATGATAACCTTAGATTGTGTGTGTGGAATCAAGTTTTGCTGTCATTTTTTAAATCTACTTCTATTAATGTTTCACCCAGCGCTGTGAGCGTACATTCTTTCCTATTTCTCTTTTCTTCTCTAGTTCCTGGTCTCCTTTCTCCTTTCTTCCTCCCTCCCTGCTCTCCTTCCTCACATGCTTGTCTTACTGCAAATCTCTGATTCATGTAGAGGTATAGATGCTTTACTCAGCCTGTTTTAAAATGGGACTTACAATGGAGAAGGTGCTGCTGACCAGGTATTCCTGTTACTTGAGTGCCATACTTTGATGCCTTCCAATTTGTTCACTGATATAAATGCAAATTAGGAGGAGAATTAAGCCTGTGTGCTGTTGATGCTGTCAGATATTTTTCTGTAGCTTGTTTAGCATAACTGAGAGATGCGTGATGGAATTAGGATATGACAATTCCACTATTGCTATGGATGGTAACAGTCTCAGTTCTGATACATTGGTGCTTGAAAGCTGTTTGATTGTAAAGCAATGGGCATGGAGAGATATGCTGTTGATAAGGCATTTCTAGCAATTCTCTAGCAAGTTCCAGGGTGACTAATCCTAGGCACACAGCACATGAGATGATCCATGTTTTTTAAAGGACTGATATGTTTTGGTTGGCTTCACTTTCCATGGGAAGCAGAAAGGGATTCCTGGAATATTGAATTGATTTCTTTCTTTTTTTTTTTTAAGATTTATTAATTTTTATTTGATAGGCAGATTTTAGAGAGAGAGAAGGACAGAGAGGTCCTCCATCCACTTGTTCATTTCCCAAATGATTGTGATGTTCCAGACTTGAGCCGATCTGAAGCCAGGGACCAGGAGTTACTTCCTGTGTCTCCCATATGGGTGCAAGGGCCCAAGGACTTGGTTTCCCAGGCTATAAGCAGGGAGCTGGATCAGATATGGGATATCAGCCTCACAGGCAGAGGTGTGCCATTGTGCTGGTCCCTAAATTGTCTTTTTTTAGGATCTGTCTCTAAAGGAAATAAAATAAAACAAAACAAAAAAATGCATTGTACCTGTTCCTTTCCCTCTCCGTCTTCTTTATTTCTTTTTTTTTAAAAGATTTATTTTTATTATTTTTATTGGAAAGGCGGATATACAGAGAGGAGAGACAGAGAGGAAGATCTTCCATCCCATGATTCACTCCCCAAGTGAGCGCAACGGGCCGATGCTATGCCGATCCGAAGCCAGGAACTCTTCAGGGTCTCCCACGCGGGTGCAGGGTCCCAAAGCTTTGGGCCATCCTCAACTGCTTTCCCGGGCCATAGGCAGGGAGCTGGAAGGGAAGCAGGGCTGCCGGGGATAGAACCGGTGCCCATATGGGATCCCGGGCATGCAAGGTGAGGACCTTAACCACTTGCGCCACCGTGCCGGGCCCCCATCTTCTTTATTTCTTGAGCAACTAATGGTATTAAGAAAATAAGTTACTCAAAATAGGCAAACTTCCTTTTAAAATGTGGGGAAATGTCCCTAACTTTATTAGTTTTCATTTATGACAAACCTAAGTTTCCAGCATATGATGACTCAACTTTTCGTTTTTTCAAAGATTTATTTATTCTTATTGGAAAGTCAAATTTACAGTGAGGAGGAGAGACAGAGAGGATGATCTTCAACCTCCTGCTTCACTCTGCAAGTGGCCACAATGGCCAGATATGAGCCAGTCTGCAGCCAGGTGTCAGGAGCTTCTTACATGTCTCCTACGTGGGTGCAGGGTCCCAAAGTTTTGGGCCATCCTCTACTGCTTTCCTAGGCCACAACTTTGCCTTGCAGCAGCAGGTATGTTAAAATAAAGTTGCTTTAGTTGCAAAATACCAACTTCTAGGGCCATAATTGTAACATGAAGTTTATTCTCTGGGGTTTAGCTTTCCTCTGTCTATTAACAACCAGAGGAGGAGATTGGAGGGATCTGCCCTTGGCCCTTCCCTCCTAGCCTTTCTAAGCTTACTTTATCCACTCAGTTTTTTCCAGGAGGGATATAAGAGAATGTCAGAGTTAATCCTTCCTTCCTTCCTTGTTTCCTTCCTTCCTTCCTTCCTTCCTTCTCCTCCTTAGCTGTATGAATTCTAGACTAGGCCTTATGGACACTTGTCCACTGATTGTCTCACATTTCAGAATAATTCCTTGTCATATTGTAAATACAATGGATATTAATGAATGAATATGTTAGTGCTGAGAGGGCCTTTTTTGGCTATATACAAAGTCGGTCAAATAAAACTTGAAAGAAAACACTAAATGAAGTCATCTCAATGCAGGCTAGGAGCCAAAAATTTCTGGTTTTTTAGTACTTCTTATGTCTTGGTAATATTTACTAAGATGAACTCTATAGATTTAAAATGAATTGTGATTTATTGACAAAGAATTATGTTATTACAGCTTAGTTTGGCTTGGTGATACTAATAAGACTACCCTAGTCCATGACTTCTTCCATTATTGCTATTTTTCTCCTCTTAATAGTTCATAAGTATATGGCAGGATTGTTTTTCAGTTCCCAATGAAAATGCTTGATACTTATTGTTGTGGAACCAGTCCTGGGAAAATCTGCAAATTGCATAGTTTGTTGATATTAAATATATTTTATTATGGCTTTCTGTAAATGATATCCTCAATCTTGTGCTTTCTCCATTGCATATGCAAAGCTTTTTACTCCTTTATATGCCTTGATTGTATTTATTGAATAATATTAGCACTTAGATTTTTATTATACAGGGCTAATTATCTTTTCCATGGGTTACTTATACTATACCATTGGCTTTTCCTGGCCTTTCTTTGCTGCTATCCTGTAGTTATTTGATGTTAGCATCTCTCTGAGAAAAGTGGCAAGAAACAACCAAACATGACATTGAAGTTGATTGAATTGACAACATGTTATATAACGATTTAGAATCTGATTTTTTTTTAAAAAAGGTAGAAACCAATGACCAAAACTGGATATGGGTAGGGTTATAAATTCAAAAGAGGACTGGAGGTATTCAGAAAATTGTTTCTCTTCTGTTCTAAGACACAGTGATGACTCCCAGTTTTATGTAAGTGACTTGTTTTATTTACCCTTTAAGTTATCTCACAAATCTTCCAACCCAATCCCAAAATTCAGTTAATAATTCACTCTGAATAAACATCAGTTGTAAATGATTTTGAATTGGTCTTCTGATTCACATGAAATATCTTTTCGATAAGCCAGGACATAGGGAAGTGAAAACTTTTTTTTTTTCATAACCAGAAAAAGAAACTATCTCTTTTTTTCATTTGTTAAACCAATGGCCTTAAAGATAGACATTTTTCTGTTTCTTAGTCCTGGACAATTCTGTTTATGCCGCTGGAAGAGCTCTTCTAGAAATTTCTATTTATTTTGTCTAGCATTTTCCAATGATATTTCAACTGCAGCTGGTTGCTTAGTTTTTCCAACTATGGTCCTGATAAATGTGTTTTGATTTTACTATAAAAATGCAGACTTAGAGAATAAAAAGCAATGAGAATACGTTTGCATCTTATTCTTCTGACAAAAAGAATTCCACATGAGCAGTTTCGTAAAATGTTAATATTTGGAGAAGGAAAGAATGTGTCTTCTTTCTTATTTCAGATTTTATGACATGAGTTTATCTGTGTTTGGCAAGAATTCTGCCTTTCCTTTACATAAGAAATTATCATCCTTTCAAACCACCAATTTTAATATGGTAATGTGATAATAAGGAAGGTGGCATTTCATCTTCTTAAGTTCTGTGATATTGGAATGTTACAGTAATTTCTGAGAACCATACTTAGAAATTAAAAACTGAGGCATAACAAGCATGGTGAAGGAATCTAGAATTTAAGGTATCTGAAAAATGTTTAAGAGGTTTTGGGGAGAATTATTCTGGAAAAGATAAATGCATTGCAACAAGATACTGTGGTTGAAAGACCTATTGGATAGGGACCATGGGGGCTAAAGGTTCGGACTCCACACAGAACTTTCTCAAAAAGTTGATTCAACATGGAAGGTGTTTCCTCAGATAACAGCTTCTGTCAAGCAGAGGCTGGGTAGAACTTAGTAAAAAAAAAAAAAAAAAAAATGATGTGGTGAGAACTGAAGCACTGGCTAGAAATTTGAACCTGATGGTCAGTTACCTTAAAATTTCATATTGAGATACTTTCATACTGTGCTCAGTTAAATACCTGTTGATTCACAGCTAAGGGTATCAAAAAAATAAAGAAAAGAAGAAAAAAAGCTTTGCTCTTTTGCTGTAAGTATATCCCATCACCCAGGGAAAAAGATAGTGTTAAACAAAGCAACAAGCCTTGGCTAAGACTCATCTCTTTCAGTCCATTCATTCATGTTCTGTTGAACCACAAACTGGTTCCTGAGTTAAAAAGGTATTTAGTAGAAATCATGGAAATTATTCATTTGTTACTAAGCATAGTCCCCAGTCAGTTGAATGAATAATCAGTGTCTGTGGGATTTTAGAATTGGCCTTCTTAGTAGAGCAGAGTCTGCCAGTAAAGACCTTACAAATGAGACTAACATCAAGATTTGCATTTCCTGCAGGAAAGGGGCTGGTGGGTCATTTGATTCATTGATCTGATTCTCTTTAGAAAAGTTTAAAGCAAGGGAGGCCAAATTGGTTCATATGGAATGCAGCAGAACATAGCTGCTTGATTTGAAAAGTAAAGATTATTTATATAAGACTTTTTGTTAATAAAGCATATGACTCAATGATTCTGCCAGCAAAATAACTTATACCTTGCTGTGCTGACAGATTTTTTTTTCTTTTGATAAGAAAATGGTCTCAAATCATTATGGAAACATACTGGAGATTGCTGAGATTTTTTTGGAAGGGTAAGGAGACTTCTTTGGATAAAATGTCTGAGTACAGATGTGGGCTACCACTTTGTGTGAGAGTCAAAATTTCACTTTTGTATTGATTTAAAACAGAACTTTTTGAGATGCTGTGCTCTAGTTTCTGGTGAAATTCTTGGTGTGTGGTGGTTGACCCTGCAGAGAGGGATACTAGTGTCGGATACAGGAGTCCACGTGTGCCGATGTGACTTCCAGCTAAGCACCAGATTTTGATGATCAGTTTTCTCATCTGTGAGATTTGTCAGGAATATTATGAAAATGAGATGAGACAGATTGAAAGTACAGTTAAATTCAAATGTTAGTTTTTCTTAGTTAAGAACAGGTTTTGAATAGTCTGATGTAGGCATAGACTATTAAGGGGAGGAAAAAAAAAGAACCTTCCCTGGATTCACATAAAAGAGCTTCATTTCTGAAAGGTTCCTTAAAAGAAACTCATTTATTTGATCTGCCTTTAGGCATTGCTGTCATCCCTCCATTTTTTAAAAAAAATTTTTTTACATACTCCAGGAAAAGTATTCTCTCCTGCTTGGCAGTTCTAGGGCTACAAACTCCTCATTATCAGGAATCATAATCTAAACAGTGTAATTTGAATCTGTTTCTTCCTGAACCCAATCTCCATATATTTTTTTTAAAGGATTGGTGTCTTTTATTTCTATGGGGCCATGTTTACTATTTCTTTTGTTTGTTTGTTTTGTTTTTTTAAATAATTAATTTTTTTTGGAAAGACAGATTTACAGAGAGGAGATACAGAGAGAAAGATCCTCCATCTGCTGGTTCATTCCCCATGTGGCTGCAATGGCCAGAGCTGAACTGATCTGAACAAAGCCAGGAGACAGGAGCTTCCTCTGGGTCTCCCAAGTGGGTACAAGGTCCCAAGGTTT